AGTCAAGCCTGTTCATGTCAAGTCAAGCCTGTTCATGTCAAGTCAAGCCTGTTCATGTCAAGTCAAGCCTGTTCATGTCAAGTCAAGCCTGTTCATGTCAAGTCAAGCCTGTTCATGTCAAGTCAAGCCTGTTCATGTCAAGTCAAGTCTCGGATTATTGTTTGGCTGTTTGGATCACCTGTAAATAAACTGCACTTGGGTTCTTCACTACGCTCGCCTTCAGTGGACTGATTCATTACAGTTGTATAAAATTTAAAAAAGATTTAGATGAAAATGTGGTCATGTATTTACACCTGACTAGAAATAAACTGATACAGGGTCAAGAGATTTGGTTTATTTTGTAATAATGTTCATTCTGTTTTTTGGTAGTATGCAAGAGGACACTTTGGTAACTCCTGGAAAAGAAAGCGACCGTGGGTGTTTGGCATACTTGAGATCAAAACTGCCCCATTCTTCGCCTTGTGAAGAAAAGAAACGAGGAAACCCTTGTTACCATCATCAAGAAACATGTCAAACGTCAAAGTCTAGTTGTGAGTGATGAATGGAGAGCATATGACATTTCCGAGGAGGGCTACAGGCATGTCAGAGTCAACCACAGCCAGAATTATGTAGATCCACAAACTGGACTACATACTCAAAACATTGAGAGAGCGTGGCAGACATTCAAGAGGCAAGTTTGGCGTATGCGGGGGAAGCGTTCTGAGAAGGCATTAAAAAAACAGCTCTGCTTCATAGAATGGACCTACTGGTTAACAAGAAGATATAAACATGGAGTACTTGGAAGGCTTCTGAAAGACATAAGGAATAGTAACCACAGTTCAGTTTAAGAACATTCTGTAAGTGTTGTTGGTTATTCATTAACTTGTACCCTCGACTAGCAATATGTACCCTTGTACCATCGACTAGCAGTAGTTAAACTGTATGTATGTATATATATATATGTATATATATATATATATATATATATATATATGTATATGTATATATATATAAAAATATTTATTTATTTATTTATTCAGATGCGCTGCTGCTGATACCATATAGAGAATGGATTGCACTGTTTGTGGTTTTATTTCTTTTGTTTTCTTTAATAAAAGTGCTTTCTTTCTCCGATGTGCTGCCAGTGTTTATTCAACTTCAGTTAGGTACACAAAACTTTTCTCATTTTAAATGCCAAATATGTTGCATATAATTAATGGATAACTGTATGTATTCTGTTGATAGTAGAAGACTTTATACTGATATCAACTGTTTTTCACTTTAATTAGATTAGTCCTAAAAGATATCTACTAACACTTAGTGGAGAATATCTACTAATAGTCTGCTGAACGTAAACTATAGATTTGTTGACCAGCAACAGATAAGCAGCTAATCTTTAATTGACAATCAACAGATGATTAACTAAAGATTGTGTTTAAAACAGTTTTTAATCATTCAATTTAATTTAATTCCCATTGAGTAAAGAAGTTACACTCTTGATTATATGTTGATATGACTGTTTACTTTCAACTGACAGACTGATGAGTTGTTGGTTGACAGCTTAGAAGATGGTGACTCAATTTAGAGAAAGTTAGTTGACCGTCAGTTAATAATAACCTGTTGCAAAAACCTGTTTTTGTAAGATCTGAAGTTTAACACTTGAAATCCAACTTATAGTTTATAAACAGTTAGTTGAATGTATGTTACTTGTCTGTTGAAACAGTGTTGTTGGATGTCAACTGACACACTGTTGACATACTACTGAATGACTACTAATAACTAGTAGCGTCTCAACAGATATCAAAATAAAGTGTTACCCACAGAATAGCATATGCTGTTTACGTTCAGTGGATATTCTCCAAAATGGCACCAGGGTAATGCGGAGGAGACAAATTGTTGAATAAATTTGATATTTTTGTTTTCTTTGCATACAAAAAGTATTCTCGTAGCTTCGTAAAATTACGGTTGAACCCCTGATGTCACATGGGTTATTTTACCGATCTCCTTGCTACGTTTCTGGACCTTGATCATGGTAATTACATTGCTGTCTATGGGAGGGTCGGAGAGCTCTCAGAATTCATCAAAAATATCTTAATTTGTGTTCCGAAGATGAACGGAGGTCTTACGAGTTTAGAACAACATGAGGGTGAGTAATTAATGACAGAATTTTCATTTTTGGGTGAACTAACCCTTTAACATTACCGTTTTTTACCATCAGATCCTAATCTGAATCAAGGTGTCAGCCATATCAAATGCACGCTTTCCAAATGAACTCTGAGGGAGGTGCTCATTCGTTTCCCTTACAACGTGCAGTAAAATGACAGTTCGAGCAGCAATCTTGTTTTTTTCCCTTAATTTTAATCGTTCAAAAGTTAATTTTTTAAAATTCCCACCGTTCTAAATCCACACAGTTGTTCGTTGCACTCCGTCTCGCGCTCTGTTTGAACGGTCTCTAATGCAGCACTGATAATTCATCTTTTAATTATCCTTAAAACCATATTAGATTACCGCGATTTGAACAACTCGCGATAAATCTAGAATTATTTATGGAGCAGATAAAATACATATAATCATGTATTAATCAATTATCTTTTTGACATATCTTTTCTTTGTTTAAAGGTTGAAATGTGAGGTTTACCTTTTTATAAAACTTTTTCAAAGCTTTATTTGAACATTTATATTAGATATTTCAACATGCTATTAAACTGTTGTCAGTCAAGTAAGTTGTCATTTAAAATCCAAACATCATTGGTAATGTTATTGTTTTAGTGATTATGCAAACAAAAAGTCATTTTATTTGTTGTTTGTTGATTTTTAAATATAAAACTTGGTGAAGTGATTTATGTGTCGGTACTTTTTTAACATCTCCAGCACATTTTAACAATACCAGGATACTGATAACCGTGATAATTTTGGTCACTATAATCGTGATACAATTTTTTCATACCGTTACATCCCTAACTGGCATACACTGGAATAACACTGGGATAATTTGCAAAAAGATCTAAAACTTGATAAATTTGTGTCTATTGGTAAATTTAAAGGCATCATAAAGAGATTGGTAATTGAGGCTTGTGATTGTTTTTGTTGAGAGGATATTATGTTTAAATATTGTTTTAATGTGTATTTGTTGTATTTTAAAATGTTGTCTTACTGTATGGCTGCTACCTTGTCTAGGTCTCTCTTGTAAAAGAGATTTTAACCTCAATGATACTTCCTGGTTAAATAAAGGTAAATAAATTAATTTAACTAGAAAATATGACGCTTTAAACCATACTTGTACTTTTCTTAGACAACATACGTAATTGTACACATATTAAACCAATAAATACAAATATTTACTTACCAAATGTGTTGATTTGAGAACATTTTAAAGCTCTGTGGAGAAGCTCATCAAGATGGTCGACGAACGTCTTCTTTCTGCAACAGTCTTCTTCTTCTTCTTCTTCTTTGACGTTTTTATGGCGGTTGGCAAACCAGCTTTAGAGGTGCATATACCACCACCTACTAGGATGGCGTGTGGAGCATTGATGTTAAAGGAAAAACTAAAAAGCTAAAGAAAGAAGAGAAAACAAAAACCTAATAATTCTCTAAATCCTGTTCATTAATTTTGTGTCTTTGAGATACTTAAATAGTATGTGAAACATGTCCATAGTTGCCTCTTTATTTAACAATGTCTGATCTGATTAATTCCTATACGAAGTGCTTCTGTAAGTTGTAATCTTTCATTCTCATATCCTTT